TGCAACTTAGTGCTCTAACTAACAGTAATTCCATCACTGAATAAACCACACAAACACCATCCTTTTTGCCAATCAGTACATGAGCCTTACCTGGTTCAGTTGACACGGGTCACAGAATCCAGAGCACATGCAGGGTGGACAAGAGAAAGATAGACACAAGCAGGGAAGACCGAGAGGAGGATGGTACAGCAATGGTGCAGTGACAGGGCTCAGGCAAGGCCAAGACACGACTTCTTTCCTTGGGGGCCCAGATGTCCCAGCCCAGAATAGGACTAAGCCCATGACTCTCTAGGGCCTGAAGTCCTTCAGGAGACCTGAACCCTTTGCAACTGTATCCATAGTAAGCATTCGCAAGAACTTGGAATGGAATGAAATATAACTGCAATCAGAGAAAACTGCAAAAATCACAGGATCTGCAAATTGCCCCCTATAGGCTAAAACAGAATATCCAGTCCCTCCGCTTATTGCCCTGGCTTTCTCACTAGGCTGACTAGGCGACCAGGTGCCTGTGTTTACAATACAGCCTCTCTATGTTACATCTTCAAGGGGACAGTATGCTCATAATTCTGGCACCCATGCTCCTACGCAGTTGGGTTTTGTCCTCAATTAAATGAGCAGACTGGCTTTTTAGCATCCATGAATACATCAGTATGAACCCACGGCTATGCACCATGTCCACTCTTGGGGTGCTTACGAGGCAGGCCTTTAACCAAGACAGTTCAGGGCAGGTCCTGGTCTCCAACTAGCACCCCAAATGATAAATGCCCAGGATGAGATCTGGAAGACCACAACTGGCCTCTAAGCCTACCTAATACTCACCTGCCTCAATTGTGTAGAACTTGAACAGGCCCCACCTGAGCCCAGGTGTCTTTAACAGAGACCCAACCCAGCACATGCCCCTCACCTGCATGCTCTGCTGGTACTGCATCTGCAAAGAACCTGGGGCAGAGGTGGACACATCCAGGCCGGATCCTCCCTCCACTCGCTGAGAAATGAAGTTGTTCAGAGATCTCAGGGTAGACAAGACAGTGGTGTTCTCCCCCAGGTCTTCCATGGTCACTCTCCTTCTGGGAGAACAAAAAAAGTCAGAGTCAGCCTTTCCACAGACCATCAGATGCCACCATCAGCAACGCTTTTGGACAGCCCTAATGCCATCTCAGAGCCCATAACCACTTTATTCAAAGGAAACAGAGAGTTCACTCCACCAATTTACCAAGAGGAAATGAGGCATAAAAGAATGCCAACACCAGGCTCAGTAGCCGTACCTGTAATCCCAATGACTCAGGAGGTTGAGATTGAAGAATCACAAGTCTGGGGCCAGCCTCAGCAATTTAGTAAGATCCTGTCTCAAAATAAAAAGAGCTGGGGATATAGCTCAGTAGCAAAGTGCTCGCCTCGCATGCACAAGCCCATGAGTTCAACGCCCAGAACTGGGGGAGAAAAAACGGTCACCAAGTCACTATTTGAGTACTGGCCAACAAAACAAATGGACAGCCAGCTCTCTAGAGAAGATGCTCAGCAGCCCAGCAGCCTCTGGGAAATCAGAAACAAAGCATACAACAGCATGATAAAGGCAATGGTGGGCACAGGAACACAAGTGTGACTTCACATTAACAGCAATAGCAGTAAGTGCCATCACTCCCTCCAACCAAGTCCCAGAGAGGAGGCATCCCACATGTACCCAAATGGTAGATTGTGCAACTGTCACCTCACATTTGACCAGCACTCTGCTTATACATAAAAAAACAACAGCTCAATCTTCAAAACAAGTAGGTGTATTCAGTCTTCTTAGAAATTTTACAGATGATGAAACTGAAGCTTCGAAAAGGTACAGAACAAGACTGGGGTTGGGGTTGTAGCTTAGTGGTAGAGCGGCCTACTTACCATGTGTGAGGCCCTAGGTTCGATCCTCAGCACCACATAAAAATAAATAAACAGAATAAAACTATTGTGGAAAAAAATTATTTAAAAAAAGGTACAGAACGGCTGGGTGCGGTGGCACACACCTGTAATCCCAGAGGCTGGGGAAGCTGAGGCAGGAACATCACAAGTTCAAAGCCAGCCTCTGCAACTTAGCAAGCCCTAAGCAACTTAGCAAGACCTTGTCTCAAAATAAAAAATAAAAAGGGCTGGTGAAGTGGCTCAGTGGTAATGAGCCCCAGTACCAAAAAAAAAAAAAGGTACAGAAGAGATCAGAAGCTGGGTCTGATTAGTCTGAAGGTAGCATGCATTCCACAAGCTCATGTGTAAAAGAACTGCTTCCTCAACACCTGTGCTTACTACATGTCATGACAGCTGCCACCAGCCAAAAGGTGTGGAACATCCCACGTACATTTATGGCCAAGAGGCTTGAACTCCCCCCACAGGCACATACTATTTCTCCCCTTAGGAAGGGGCAGTGCTTGTTCATTTCCCTTTGGTATCAGAATGAAAATACACACAAACCCCTTTAAAAACATTTTTTTTTTTTTGAGTGGGTGCTCATAATCTTAGCTACTTAGGAGACTGAGGAAGGAGGATCTCAAGTTTGAGGCCAGCCTGGACAACAAAGCAAGACCCTGTCTCCAGAAGAAAAAAATAATAATAACAATAACTTAGTTTGTCTCCGACAAAGTTTCTGACTTAAAAGGACCTTGAGAATGGAGTCAGTCTGCGCTTTCAGTGCTGTGAGCCTGGTAAACCCAGGCAGGAAACAGAGCTCTACCCTTCAAGCCCAAATCCATTTTCCAAGTTCAGACCAGAGCCACACTTTCCATCCTCTTCTCCAAACACCATCCCCTAAGAACTGAACCATTAATATACTAAAATGAAAAGAACACTGTATTTTCAACTTCCTGGAACCAGGCTGCTCCATACACACCTGAGGCTCAAACCCTCCAGCCACCTGAAGGTGGAACCCCCAACACCTCTGGACAGCCCCTGATATGGGAGTCAGGAGCATACTACCCTTCCAGCCTCAAAAGAGAAATGGCAGAGAAAATTTAAATAAGTGACCAAGATCCAGGCATAGTGGTGCAAGCCTGTAATCCCAATCACTTGGAGGACTGCAAATGCAGAGGCCAGCCTAGGCAACTTAACAAGACCCTCAGCAATTTAGTGAAACCCTATCTCAAAAAATGAAAATGGCTGGGGATATAGATTAGTGGTAAAGCGCCCCTAGGTTCAATCTCCAATATCAAAAAATAAAACTAAAAGTAAGAAGTGTCCAAGAAAACTCACTGCCCTGATCCCCTGGTGAATCCTGCCTTCTCTAAACACACACTATCCCCGTCACTACCCCAAACAGCTGGACTCTGGGCACACGGTGCCTCCAGAAGCAGCAACAAGATAGATGCCTGCTCGGCCAGTGCAGACAGCGGAGCGGCTCAGGGGGACAGCAGCCACCACTTCTCCCCACGCGCTGGCTCTAGCTCCCTAGGGGCCTCTTGCCAATGGATGCTCAGAGGAGCCACAGCTGCGACTTGACTGGCCCAGGTCACTAAGAGCGGCTAGGGGGCGAGTGCAGGCGGGGGTCTCCCAGGCAAAGCGCTTACAGACCGCGTCATGACAGGGGAAGGGACAGGTGGCGAGGGTAGACCAGGGGTCTACAGAACAGGGCTACGCGCAGACCCCAACAGAACCACGGACCCTGCTAGGACAGCAGGGGCTGCGCCCCAATATCTAGCGGTGCGAAAGGGACGTGGGGTCTCCAGACCGCCGGGACGTAGGGGGCGGCAACGGCGCCGACTGCGGTCAGCCCCGGGCCAGGGCCCTCTCCGCCGCGCCGCCCAGCCCCCGGGATCCTGAGCCCGCGACCCCGCGCCTAGCCCTCCACCGCTCACCTCAGTTGCCTGCTCACGCTTGCCGCCGCTGCTCGGATCTCCCTCCGCTCCGCCCGCGCCCACTTATCGCGAGATATGAGCCGGCGCTCTCGCGAGACCGACTACAGGCCCGCCGTAAAGAACCGAGTCTGCGCGCCTCACACCCTGGGGCTCCGTGTCCTCACCGGAGCCGCCCAACCCAAGAAGCCAGAGCAGAATGGGACTCCGCACCTTCCGGCCGCCCGGCCACCCCACCGAACACGCTTGCACTACGGCCACCGCCTCGCGCCGTAATGTTCTGAATAGCAGCGCCCACAGTGGCTTCTTAGGGACAAACTTATTTGCATTCTTGACTCTTCCCCAAATCTTGCTTGTACAGTTTGGTTTAATTAAAATACGTTCTTTTCTTCTTCTCCGGGACCACTGGCAACACATAGTATTTATGCTGCTCCCCAAAGCTCTGTCCTCCCCATCAGAGTGCACAGCACTGGCCTGAGCCGGTACAGACAGCTGGCGAGGCTTTCAAAGGAGGGAAAATCCGATGGAGTATGGTGACATTTCCACCTTTGAAGATGTGTTTCTGAATTCTCCCCTCCTCCCTCCAGCCCCTGTTTGGAAGGTGCTGCTCCATCGGTCTGCACTTATGTTTCCTTCCTCAGAGGACAGATGATCCAGTCTGTGTGTCCGGGAAGGAAATGGATAGGAGAGAAATGCAGTGGGGGTATGCGGGAGTTTCTAGGGATTTTACCTGACCACAATTAAAAATAAAATGGAGAGTAAAAATACTTGATCAGCAGCCCCCTTCAGGGGGCTGGAAGAAGACCTAGCACTCATTCGCTCCAGGGCACCCAGTCTTTCCACAGGCCTTTGGCATTACATTAGTGTTAATCTATAGACACATCCTCAGGGACCCTCCCCTTTGCGAAATGGCTTGAAAGAAAGCAGTCGAGTTTTGAAAAACAAAAGCAAAACTTAAGTCATGGAAATTCCTTAAAATAATGCAATCTATATTCTCTCATAAAGCTACATGGAAGGCTGGGGTTGTGGCTCAGTGAGGCATTGGGTTTGATCCTCAGCACCACATAAAAATATTGTGTTCAAAAAAAAAAATATTATGTTCACCTAAAACTACAAAATAAATATTTAAAAAAAAAACTGCATGGAGTTCCTAGAAAAATAAGGCTAAATGAACGCATCACATCATTGCTGGCTTTGCAATTTATAGTCTTGAGAGCCTGCTACATTACAGCAATACATACTTCTAGCACAAACCAAAGCACACCCACTCCGTGCATAAATCCATACCAAATGTCTCTCCTAATTGCTCTGGGAGTTCTCACTGTTTTAAGATTGAACGTATTTCCAGATTATTCACCAAAAAGATGGAAATTAATCCCCAGATGGAAATTTCAGATTTTTCTACTTTATACTATATAGCCAAAATAACAACTGGGAAACAATGTATTGTGTTCCGAAAGCAGTAAAGGAACACCTGTTTCTTTGTACTAGGCTAAGAGTCTATAAACTGAGAAAGTTCTACTTGCTCTGTCTCAGCAAGTCATTTTTATCCTCCCATCTCTTTACATCCTTCAGTCTCCACATCTTTCTCCTGATAACTTTCTCTGCAAAAATCATGATATAGAAACCTGGTTTTAATCATTTTTCATGGCCCTTAAATATAGTATGTCATCTCTGTTTGGTTTAAATCAAAGACCTTCATGGTCACAGCAAAGCTCCCAGCCACTCCTCAGGAAAGCACTCAGGCCACATCCACAGTTTAAAAAGACCCAGCATCCATTTAAGAATGGCAGGACCTCTCATGGCTTCACAGAGCCCTTCCTTCTACGGTACTGTGTGGCCAAGAGGTACACCTCTGATGATTCTTTCCTGCTGGCCATGGGTTTCACAGTTCTTGTGTTCTGGAATTCCTCTGTCAATCTCTTCTGAAACTGCTGGCTTAGACTTCCAGCCCAGGTCTTACAAAGCAGTGTTCCCCCTGGGTGCAGGACAACTGAAGCCATGTCCAGAAGTGACAGGCACATGCCGATAAGCCTGTCATGATCAAGTTCCTGGATCCCAGTGGCATTGGGTGCCATGTCGCTCAGAATCACATCTGCCCGCCCCCCAGGAAGCAGTTCTAGGATCCTCTGCAAGGTTTTCGGGTCAGTCACATCAGCAGAGCACAGAAAAGTTGCTCCTTCCAGGGGAGTTATGTGAAGAAGATCCACCCCAAGCACAAAGCCAACAGGAGAGCTGGAATCTATGGAAGGAACAGTAGATATGTTATTTACATCCTAAATCTTTCCATAGAAACACAAAATAAAGACACTAGGACCAAGGAAAAGAATAGATGTGCATATGTGGTCAGGAGCCCTCCCACTATGCAAACAGCCTATGGAGACACACAGAGGGCAGAGGGCAGTGGGCAGTCCTTCACTTGGCAGCTGAGGAAGTTGAGGCCAGTCATCCTTAGTCACGGGCACAGCTGGGGCCACAGCCAGGACTTCTCTTCCTGCTTTTGGAATGTTGCCTCAAATTCACTCTCTGTGAAAGGATTCTCCTTAGTGGTGGGGTTTTATTTTGTTTTCTTTTGTTTTTTTGGTACTGAGGACTTAAGTCAGGGGCACTTTACCAGTGAGCTACATCCCAGCCCTTTCTTTCTGATTTTTTATTTTGAAACAGGGTCTCTATAATTTGCTTAGGGCCTCTCTAAATTGTTGACAGTGACCTTCAACTTGTGATCCTCCCATCTCAGCCTCCTGAGCCTCTAGGATTACAGGTGTGCACCACCGTGCCTGACTTCCTTGGTGGTCTTTTTGATAAAAGAAAAGATTCTGATACACCAGTACATAAAGTGCCTCTGGATTAAAATCAATAAATCCATCTACAACTTAAGCCATTTGCTTTCAATGTAGAAACCACTGGAAACAAGCCAGAGTTGGGAAAAATGAACAGATTTCAAATGAGACACAAAAATTGACCATATTTGAGGAATACTACTTGTAAAACAAAAAAAAAAAAAAGGTTTTATAAAACAAAAAAGATAGCAGCCTCACCTAACCTGAAACAAGACTTCCTGCCTACTCCTGTTCTCAGCCTCCACCTCCTCCTCCCATGCTGTCCCCATATACAAAGACCCCCGCTCCACATGTCTGTTCCTCATCCTTGTGGCACTGCAGAGGATCTCAGCTCTGTTGCTAAGTGTTGATAAATTAAGAGTATAATCACAGATTTTCAAGTTTAGTCTGCTTAATAAAACTCAGAACAGGGAGGATATGCATTTTATTTCTAGATAAAATTAGAATTTTGAAGACTACCTCACTTTTTAAAAGTGAAAACCCTATTTTCAGCCCAGGAAAGTGGGACACCTCACATCTCAGTTGACATTCTTGACCTTTCTTTCCTTTATCATGCACATGTGTTACAGCCTTAGGAAGTTTCCACAGAAAGTAAACAGCTTTGGTTGCAATTTTGCAACAATGAGAAGGAAAGCTCAGGTCACCCTTGCATTCTTTGCCCTGTCACTTCTTCCTACAAGTTAAACTGAGCCATTTTCATCCTTCTGGAAAGCCATCAGGGGAATAGAAATCACTAAAATCAGTTATTAGGAGGTCCCAACATTACATTTTAAAGTTGTATGGGTGACTGTTTTATCTCTTTCCTAACATAGAAACTGTCAAAGAAATCCTTGTCAAAAACCCTAAAATTTAAAAGAAAAACGCTGAGTCCTCAGGTTGACCCAAAGTGGAGAATCCAGAGCCTTGGCCACGAAGCCTTTCTTGAGGCCCTAGAGGGTCCCCCCTGGGACCTCCATGAAACCCTCAGGCTGCAGGAACAGGACTTAGAAACCTCTGGGGTTGATTCAGCTGTACTGCCATGGAAAGATGTCAGTATATCATTAGTGGAAAAAAAAACTCCATTAAGACTCCAACTAGCAAGAAAAACATGGCATAATTTCTCAAAATGTAAGAAAGTAGTTATGTAGGCATGTATACAAAAACAAACTCCAGAAGGGTGTACACCAATATGTTGTACACCCAGCTGATATAATTTGTGGTGATTTTCATTATACCTTTCCACTTTGTCTTTCACTTTGAAAAGGTCAGTATTCTGATTTTACAATTACCACTACTAATCAATCCACTCAGAAGTATGTGCCTTCAGGAAATAGCTCAACTGCTGTGTCCACAGCAGGAAACAACTCACTTTCTTTCCCTCAGACTTGCGATCAGAAAGTGCTAACAGGAGCGTGGGGGTCCCACCTCTGCCTGTGGCATTGACGCTGTGCACTGCCACCTGACTCCAGGCCCCAGGAGCTGCCCCGCAGTCCAACACACGGAGGCCAGGCCACAGAATCCGATGCCTCTCATTCATCTCCAGAAGCTTGAAGGCACTTCGACAGCGGTAACTCTCCACCTTCGCAGCCTTCACAAAGGGGTCCTTTAAATGCCGACTCAGCCATAGGTGCTCAGCACCTGTCCGGCCCTTGTAGTAACACCCTGCAGTGTGGAAGCCCTGACGCTGGAGGGAAGCACACGCCAGCTTCAAGCACCTAATTGGAGAAAAAGGAGGAAGAACGATGGCATCAGATGGATCAGCAGGTCATGGGTGCAGAGGGGGGCCCTGGCTCAATTCACTCCTTTTCAGAGTGGACGCACTAAGGCCCAAGAGGAGAGGTGACTTGACAAGCCCACACAGCCAAAGAGGTGTCATCAGCTGAATTGCATTTCCCCAAACCCATGTTTCTCAAGACCTCAGAACATGACTATAGTTGGAGATGAGATTTGTAAGAACATAATCCACCCCGTGAGATCACTGGGGTGGATCCTAATCCTATCTGACTGGTGTCTTTATGAGATTAGGATACAGACATGCACAAAGAGCGAACCACATCTGTAAGCCAAGGAGGCAGCCTCAAGAGAAATCTTCCTTCCCACACCTTGATCTCAGGCTTCCAGCCTCCAGGATGTGATAAATAAGTGGCTGTGCTTAAGCCACCTGGTCTGCATACTAAATTACAACAGCTGAGCAAACTTTCCTGGGGAAGTGTTTTGTTCTTTTTATTCACAGCAGGGATTGAACCCAGAGTTGCTTAACCACTGAGACATATCCCCAGCCCTGATTTTTTTTTAATTATTTTTGTTAATTTGATACAGGGTTATCACCAAGTTGCTTAGCGCCTCACTATGTTGAGGAAGCTGGCTCTGAACTTGCAATTCTCCTGCCTCAGCTTCCCAAACTGCTGGGATTACAAGTGTGCATCATCGTACCCAGGCAGTTAGTGTTCTCCCCCAAAGATTTTCTCAGAAGAAAAATAAACACAATGATAATCACCTCCTTTCTGACAACCCAAACTTTTCCAGTACTGGTTAACAATATTGATAATAATAATGAAAATTATTCTTTTCTTGTCTGGCCCAAATTTTCACAGTGCTCTGCAAAAAACTGCAAGAAAACCCCATAAGGACAGGTTCCTGCCTGTCACCTCTAGCACAAGTCAGGCCTGCACATTTCTTAAGACTGAACCCAAACTGTGTGGATGACTAAAGGATAATTTCCAAGATTCTTTCAACAACTTACACTCTTTTACTATTTTCAAATATTTTTTAGTTGTAGATGGACAATACCTTTATTTTATTTGTTTTTATTTTTATGTGGTACCAGGAATTGAACCCACTGCCTCATGCATGCTAGGCTAGTGCTCTACCACTGAGCCACAACCCCGACCCCAAAAAGTTATGCTTTTAACACATAAAAAGTAGCTTGGCATAACAGGAGCTATATATAACTCCCCCTTGCTTAACTCTCAAAACATTCTTAATATTCATTACTTCCATTTCTTTTTTACTGTTCTATTCATTTCTCTGATGGAAAAAGAGGTTTTATTATTCTCACAGCTCTGAGGCCAGAGCTCCTTCAACACCAAGGTGTGCTGACAAGATTTGAGGACAGGACTGGGGAATAAAGAATCCTGGCTTCAAATGGCTTAGGGGATCTCGTGGGGGAAATGGCACACACATCCAAGGTGCCAGAAATAATTTCAGCACAGAGAAGAGATGGATAGTGGTGTCTCACGGGCCAACGAAGTGAGGTTCCCCCCACAAATCCCGGAGTCAACCTGATTTGGGGATCTGACCTCTCCAACCCCATCCCATGCGCTGGACTCTAGCTATACAGGCCCCCTTGCTTTTTGGAAGCTCTGTGCCACGTCTTTAGAGGCTGCAGTGGTTTCACCTGCCTCTCCAGCCTCTACCTGCAGCCCCCACCTGCCTCTCCAGCCTCTACCCGCCTCTTCCCAGGTCGGGTACTCTAGTCCGCGCGCTGGGGTTCAGGTCTGCGGAGCCCCAGGCTGGGGTCCATCGCTCGTCCTGGAGACCCGAATGCCGGGCCGGGGGTGGGCCAGCTCCCCTTTTCGGATGAGGAAACTGAGGGCTCCCACCTCTCCCGCCTCCCTGCACGCATGCAGCAAGCGCCCCGTAAGCAAAGACTGAACACTATTCCCCACTCACCCTGCCATGGGAGTCTGCCTGCCACTTCCGCTCATTACCGGAAATCACGGTCCCACTTCCGGTCCAGGCCCCGCCTTTTCGGTCGGGAACGGCGCGCAGGTAGGATTGGCTTACAAGGAATAGAAGCGGGAGAAACCTGGGGAGGCGGCAGCCGTGAGCACCGGGAAACGAGGAGTGGGGAAGATGAGGAGAACTGGAGTCGGAGAGATGGGCGAGGCCAGGAGAGCGGGGCCTAGGGGAGAACAAGACAGAACACAGGGGCGCTAGAGGAGGGAAATGGGGGTCCTGACGGGGTGAACTGGGCCCAGAGGTCCGGTAGGTATGGGCTGCGGAGAGGACCCGGTGTCCGGAATCCAATACTCCGCACAGCCTCTGAAAGGGAAGGCTGGGGAACGAGCATTTGCCAAACCTACTTCATGCAAGACTGAGCACTGCGCCGCACGTGCATCTCCTGCAGCCCTGATAACAACCTGATTTACAGGTGACCTCCAACTCCACCTGTGGAGTGCCAGCACCCCAGCCTCTGGCATTAGGGAGCCCCGATGACTCCTCAGATTTACTGCTAGGGAGCTGTGGACACACTAGATAGTGACACACTAGATGGTAGATCCAGGTATGGTTAATGGCTCTGCTATTTGACTTTGGATCAAACTTAGCTTTACTGAGCTTGTTTCCACCTCTGAAAATGCAGAATTCAAATCTTAATAGAGTTGTTGGGTCTATTAAGAGGTTTAGTTTTTGAAAATAACTATAATCAGACCTCTGAGGCCTTGGGTTCATCATCAGATGATTCAACCAGTGGACAAAAAGATATTCAGAAAACATAATTGCATCCCTACTGAATATATACAGACTTATCTTGTCCATAATCTCCTGTATAACAACATACCATTTACATTGTACTAGGAATTGTAAGTCATCCAGAGATGACATAAAGTATGCAGGAGGATGTGCATAGTTATATGCAAGTATACTGGGGTTTTTTTGTTCTTTTTGAGGGGGTTACTGAGGATTGAACTCAGGCACTTGACAACTGAGCCACATCCCCAGCCCTATTTTGTATTTTATTTAGAGACAGGGTCTCACTGAGTTGCTTAGCACCTCAATTTGCTGAGGCTGGCTTTGAATTTGCAATCCTCCTGCCTCAGCCTCCTGAGCCGCTGGGATTACAAGCATGCACCACCAGGCCTAGCTAGCAAATATACTGTTTTACCTATGGAGTGTGAGAATGCTTGGATTTTGTTATCTGAAGGGTCCCTAGATCTAATCCCCCACCGATACAGAAATATGGTTGTATATAATCATTGCATAATAAGTGATAGCTGGAATTGCCATCGATTATCATTATCAGAGTTGCTTTAGAAGCCAGGCCTTCGTTCATGCATAGGTCCATGACAGAACGAAGGATACTGGCCTCCTGGGAAGCCCAGCCACAAGCCCACTTCCCTTGCTTGACTGGCCCCACCCATGAACAGCCCCTAGTCCCTTTACTTAGATACTATGACTTCCAAGCTGGTTCTGAATCCAGCTCTGGCCAGGTGTTCCTAGACCAGAATAGGGACAGAGCTGAAGGAAACTTAGTCCCAGTCCTCCTGAATTTCTCCAGGGTCCTGTCTCCCACAGAGGCCCTCTCAGAAACAACAGGTGTTTCCCTGAAACCAAAAACTCCTATTGGAATAGGAAAGGCACTTGTATCTCCCAGTGTCCTCTGGATGCCAGATCTCACCACAACAACACTAAAAGCAGAGTAAGTAGGACATAAACTTCTGTCACAGGAAGGAAGACCAGCCAGGCCACTCCTTTCCAGAGGCCTGCTGCTGCAGAGACTGAAGCCAGGTCCCAGCAATCTAGAAGGAGCCCCTGCTGATGAAAAGGCCAAGGCTGAAGCCTGGCATGAGAGCCCCTGAACAAATGGCATGGTATTGGAGGTGGGGGCTGATCTGCCCTACAGCTTGGGGTTCCTGGAGAAGACCCAGGAGTAAGGACCCAGCCCTTGAAATTTGTTGTCCTCTAGCTAAGAGTGCCAAGTGGGGAAGGGAATATGTGACCTTCCTCTAACCAGCCCTGGTAAGCACAGGGCCTGGCACTGATATCACTGGGTTCTGAGGGACAGCCCTCTTTCTACCCAGAAAATCATTCATTCAAAGACAGGTTTGCACCTGCTGCCACACTTCTTCCTGCCTCCTAAAGGACATTTCCTTTGCACCTGACCACTGTAGCACACATGCCTTGTCCGCACCCTGTCCACACCCGAGTGAGAGCTGACTCTAGCTTCTTGCCTTCCTCACAGAGCCCCAGTGGACCATGGTGGCCTCCAGGCTCTATACCTTGGTGTTGGTACTGCAGCCGCAGCGCGTTCTTCTGGGCATGAAGAAGCGGGGCTTTGGGGCTGGCCGTTGGAATGGCTTCGGGGGCAAAGTACAAGAAGGAGAGACCATCGAGGATGGGGCCAAGAGGTGAGAAAGTTTCAGGGACAAGAATTCAAGCTGTAGAGCTACACCCCGTCTTCACTGCTGGGAGCTGTGACCTAGAGCAGGTACAACAGTACTGGCCTTTCAGGAGAGTTGGGAAGACTGAGAAAATGCTTGGAAGGCATTAGATCCGCTGGTCTGTGTACTGAATGTGTGCGCTCTTCTGGGTGATGGCGGCCCTGTTCAGGATGTTTGGATGGAGTTGGACAGTCCTGGCTTCCTCCCATGCGGGCCCAGGGCTCCTCGGCCACTTGTCTTCCTCCTCCTTCAGGGGAGCTGACAGTTGCTTTTATCTAAAACCTTTTGCACACAGTCTCAATCCTATGACCAGCTTCAATGGCAAGGAGTTGAAACCTGGAGTTTGAGCTGCTTGCCCAAGATCACATGTTCCCTAGAAGTCAGTCTCTTTGCTCTTATTCATACAAGACTGATGAAGATAAGAGATCATCAGTGCAAGTGTTGTGAAGCCTTACACACATTTTAGCTCACTTTTTTTTTCTGTTCTAATTAGTTATACATGACAGTAGAATGTATTTCGATTCATTGTACGCAGATGGCGCACAATTTTTTATTTCTCTGGTTGTACATGATATAGAGTCACTTCATTCGTGCAGTAATACATATGCCTAGAGTAATGATGTGCATCTCATTCCACCATCTATCCTACCCCCATAACCTCTCCACTCCCCACATTCCCCTTTGCCCTATACAGAGTTCCTCCATTCTTCCCATGACCCTCACCCCCCATTATGGATCAGCATCCACTTATCAGAGAAAACATTTGGCCTTTGGATTTTGTGGATTGGCTAACTTCACTTAGCATGATATTCTCCAACTCCATCTATTTACCTGCAAGTACCATAATTTTATTCTCTTTTAATGCTGAGTAATATTCCATTGTGTATATATACCACAGTTTCTTTATCCATTCATCTATTGAAGGGCATCTAGGTTGCTTCCACAGTTTAGCTTTTGTGAATTGAGCTCCTATAAACATTGATGTGGCTGCATTACTATAGTTTGCTGTTTTTAAGTCCTTTGGGTATAAACCAAGGAGTGAGATAGCTGGGTCAAAGGTGGTTCCATTCCAAGTTTTCTAAGGAATCTCCATACTGCTTTCCAGAGTGGTTGCACCAATTTGCAGTCCCACCACTAATGTATGAGCGTTCCTTTCCCGCCATGTCCTTGCTTAGCTCATGTTCTTGTTCTGAAAATAGCTGGTACCCTTAAGGCCAATGGAGAGAAGAAAATCCCAAATACGTATTTGAGGCCTCGGGAGAGGAGAGAGACTTGGATGCTGAAGCCCAGCAACTTTAATTTTTTTTTTAATTTCAACCCACAGTGAGAAAGGTCTTACACTGCAACAGCACATACACACTCAAGTGTATATATTAGCTAAGATGATGATACCCATGGACAATTGATCTTTTTTAATCACTAGTGGCAATATACTAATTTGATTTCACAGGGCACAACAGGGTCACAGCCCTCAGTTTGAAGAGGCCTGTATGAGCCATGTGCAGGGATACAACTATAGCCCCAGCCATGTGGGAAGCCAAAGCTGGAGAATTACAAGTTCAAGGCCTGCCTTGGCAACTTAGCAAGACCCTAAGTATCTTAGCAAGACCCTGTTCCAAAATAAACCCTGGGGATGTTGCTCAGTGGTAGAGCACCCGTAGTCCCACCAAAAAAAAAAAAAAAGTATACCTGCCTAGACCTGGGACCCAAGGCTGCTGCCAAACTGGCACATTCAATGTTATTTTGGCAGTTTCCAGGCTTCTGCAGCCAGGGCAAAGATACCTAAGAATCAATCACTCTGGACCCCTATGCCAGTCATGATGGTGGCCCTCCCTCAGACTGGATTTTGAGGCAGAGAAGGAAGTGAGATGGAACCGGAAGCATGCTATTTCTCCTGTATGTACCTTGCCCCACCCACTGCTGTATCCAAACTAGCCTCCTCACCTGGGCAGGTGTGACAGTCTCCTAACTGGTCTGCTTCCGCCTTTCCTACACTGTGTCCAAATGCACGTGCGCACACACTCACACATAATAAAACCTTCAACGGTTCCCAATGCTTTTAAAATCCACCCCCATCCCTGTATCATCCAGGGCCTGGCTTGGCCTCTCACCCCCACTGTCCCTCAGATCCTCCAGCTGCTGCCCACCCTCCTCACCTAGGAGACCCCTTCTCAGCCTTCACATCTAAGAAGGCGCCTCCTCCCACCCTGCAGTTGTTGATAAACCTCATCCTGTTTTCTTCTCCAGCATCAATCTCTGTAATCATATTTAATTACTCATTTCCCAACTCCTTCCCAGAAGCACCCCATGAAGCCAGGATTAAAGACATTTCAAGGTTGTTGTTTTTTGGGGTTTTTTGGAGGTGGGGGGAGTGTACCAGGGATCCAGCCCTATTTTGTATTTTATTTAGAGACAGTGTCTCACTGAGTTGCTTAGCACCTCACCGTTGCTGAAATTGACTTTGAACTCACAATCCTCCTGCCTCAGCCTTCCCAGGTTTCCAGGGTGAGTATGTGGTGGTGGGATTTGTTGTTACATATTTGTACATGCACACAATATAATGATATTAAGTCAAGTTTTTATCTTGTGATGCCAATATAGAAAGTTGCATACTTTCTCTTTCTCAGTAGTGGGAATTGAACCCAGGGCAGTCTACCACTGAGCTATACTCCCAGCCCATTTTATTTGTTTATTTTGAGACAAGGTCTCACTAAGCCACCCTGACTGGCCTCAAACTTGTGGTTCTCCTGCCTCAGCTCCCAAGGAGCTGGGATTACAGGTGTGCACTTCTACAGGAAGTTGCAGAGTCTTGAAGAAGGTCCACCTGTTTAATCAACGTATGGATCTAGTAACAGGCCTGGGGTGTGCCCCCCCAACACCTTACCCCATCCCCACCTACAAAGGCAACCTTTACTCTCACAGCCACTGACTTGGGCTTGTTCTGAACTACAAGGTACATAGTGGAGGCACCCCCTTTTTTTTTTCTTTTTTGGCAGGGCGGTTACCAGGGATTGAATCCAGGGGCACTCAACTACTGAGCCTCATCCCTAGCCCTTTTTGAGACAGGGTTTTGCTAAGTTGCTTAGGGCCTCAATAGGTTGCTGAGGCTGGCTTTGAACTTGTGATCCTCCTGCCTTAGCCTTCTGAACTACTGGGATTCGCCACATCCAGCTAGAAGGCACCCTATTATTGTCTGGCTTCTTTCCAAACATTATATGTATGTGGGCTGGGAATAGAGCTCAGTTGGTAGAGTGCTTAACTCACATACACAAGTCCCTGGGCTCAATCCCCAACCCCACCAAAAAAAAAAAAAAAAAAAAAATTACATGTACGTGGCAGTGTTCATTCCTTCTCACTGCTGTATGGTATGGCACCTGAAGATACTGCGTGTGCCATTATGCAGGGAGTGCTGCCATGAACAGCCCCCTTCCTTTGTCCTCCAGTGCCCGCTGGACTCGCTCCTTACCTAGTCAGGAGGAAAAACTAGCTGTGGAGCTATAGCAAAGCCAGTTTTCCAAAGAAGTTGCACTAATTAAATTCCCAGGTGGTGGGTTGAGTTCGGGGTTCCTGAGTCCTCGGCAACACTTGGTATTTCTTTTAGCCATGCTGGCAAACGTGGTGACCTCCCGTTGTGGGTTTAGTTTGCCATTAACTGTGAGAGATGAAGTTAAGCACCTTTTGAGCATCTGCCACCACTGACATCCTCCAGAGTCTACTCAGGCCTTCTACTCTTCTTTAATTGGGTTGCTTTTTTCTTGATTTTCAGTTCATTATACACTATTTTTTTGGTAGTGTATTAAACCCAGTGTGCTCTACCACTGAACTACATCCCCAGCCCTTTTTTATTTTGAAACAGGGTCTCACTAAGTTCCCTTGCTGGCCTCAAACTTGTAATTCCCCTGCTTCAGCCTCCCAAGTAGCTGGGGTGACAGGTGTGGCCACTACACCCAACTTCATTCTATACTTTGGGTGTCAGTTGTCAGCTGGGTGTGTTGCCAATATCCTCTACTCTGTAGCTTGCTCCTTAATAATTTTTAAAATATTTTTAGTTGTAGATGGACACAATACCTCCATTTATTTTTATGTGGTGCTGAGGATCGAACCCAATGCCTCAACTGTGCAAGACAAGCACTCTATCACTGAGCCATAGCCCCAGCCCTTGATTCTTAATGATATTTTAATAAATAGAGGTTCATCACTTTAATGCAATTCACATATATTCTTTTTTTTATTTTATTTTTTTTTAATTTTTTATTGTTGGCTGTTCAAAACATTACATAGTTCTTGATATATCATATTTCACACTTTGATTCAAGTGGGTTATGAGCTCCCATTTTTACCCCATATACAGATTGCAGAATTACATCAGTTACACATCCATTGATTTACATATTGCCATACTAGTGTCTGTTGTGTTCTGCTGCCTTTCCTATCCTCTACTACCCCCCTCCCCTCCCCTCCCCTCTTCTCTCTCTGCCCCCTCTACTGACATTCATTTGTCCCCCTTGTATTATTTTTCCCTTTCCCCTCACTTCCTCTTGTATGTACTTTTGTATAACTCTGAGGGTCTCCTTCCATTTCCATGCAATTTCCCTTCTCTCTCCCTTTCCCTCCCACCTCTCATCCCTGTTTAATATTAATCTTCTTCTCATGCTCTTCGACCCTACTCTGTTCTTAGTTACTCTCCTTATATCAAAGAAGACATTTGGCATTTGTTTTTTAGGGATTGGCTAGCTTCACTTAGCATAATCTGCTCTAATGCCATCCATTTCCCTGTAAATTCTATGATTTTGTCATTTTTTAATGCAGAGTAATACTCCATTGTGTATAAATGCCACATTTTTTTTATCCATTCATCTATTGAAGGGCATCTAGGTTGGTTCCACAGTCTTGCTATTGTGAATTGTGCTGCTATGAACATCGATGTAGCAGTGTCCCTGTAGCATGCTCTTTTTAGGTCTTTAGGGAATAGACCGAGAAGGGGAATAGCTGGGTCAAATGGTGGCTCCATTCCCAGCTTTCCAAGAAATCTCCATACTGCTTTCCAAATTGGCTGCACCAATATTCTTTTTTTTAATACTGTTGATACTAGTCTCTAGATTTTTTTAATACTTATTTAGTTGTAGGTGAACAACAGTATCTTTTTTTATTTTTACGTGATGTTGAGGATCAAACCCAGTGCTTCACACATGTGAGGTAAGCACTTTACCACTGAGCTACAACTAGGCCCCATATATTTTCTTTATGGTTAGAATTGTTTATATCCTTTGAGGGAATCTGCCTATCCCAAGCCTAGGAAGACGGTCAGATCTAAGTTTTCTCCTAAAAATTTTAGAAACTTAAGTCTACAATCCATGCAGAATTCAGTTTTTACAAATGATTAGGCAGGGGTTTAAGACTGGGTTTGGGGCTGGGGTTGTATCTCAGTGGTAGAGCGCTTGCCCAGCACGTGTGAGGCACTGGGTTTGATCCTTAGCACCACATTGAATGAATGAATGAATGAAGGTGTTATGTCCATCTGTAGCTTAAAAAAACTGAGGTTTTCCCATAAAGCTCTCTAGACAGCACCTTACTTCCTGGAAAGACCATGTCCCTTGCACTGCCGTTACTTTTGTCACAAGTGAAAGATAATGCAATGTGAAACCACATCAGCTTTCTTTCCACCACATGGAGCCTGGCATAGGGCAGGCCTCCCCTAAGCAGCAGGAAGGTGGGCAGATGTACATGCTTAGCAAAGCTGACTGGATGCTAGCTGGCCCTGTAGTGGGGGACCCAGCCTGCAAGCCCATGGCCATGTTCCTTGGCATCCTGATCCCACTATAAGTGAGTGTCATTGTTCAGACCAACTTACCCTCTAACATGGGTCACTTTCCAGTGTCACTGTGGAGGAAGTTGTCTTAGAATCCTGAGAGGATCATAATAATTTGCACTCTGGGCCTGCCCGAGGAGCTGCACCAGAGCTGCTCTGCCCAGGACTCGCCTGGGCCCAGCTGCCCCAGCGCTTTTCCCTAACTTGGCATCCACAGCAGTGTGCAGTGCCTCTGGAGGCAGCGGCTTCTGCAGAGAACATCCTCCCTGCGGCCACAGAATAGGAGTGGTTTCCATGCTTCAGGGACCTCCACTAAGGTGGGGAGGTCACCCTTGGACTAAGGTCAGAGGCTCAGCATCAAGGGGCACACACTGCCCAGTTTAGACCCATCAGCCCTGTGGACCATGTGGTTCCTTAGAGCCCCTGGTTAGCTCTGGGCAGTTTCTCTCAGTTTCTCTCTGGGCACCAGCCCAGAAGGCAGTGTGCACAATGCAGTCAAAGGAAGGGACACCATCTGACAGACCCTCATGCCCCATCCCTGCCTGTGGGGTGAGAGGGGCATGCAGGAGAGCAAAGTGCACAGCCCCTCCGACATTCAAATGCATGTGAGAGTCAGGATGCTCTGGAGCCATGCAGGCTGAGACCTGGGCATCTGAATGGAGCTGGCTCCTTGAAAGACTTCTGTGCCTGGCGGCTGCCTCTCCCAAAGATTCTGTGTGCTTCCTGCACACACTGCCTGTCCTGTTCCCTCAGGAGTGTCCCAGAGCCAGGAACATGTTCCCCTCTTCACCCGCAGGGGGCAGGCACGAGTACTTATCCATTCTCACAGTGGCAGTCCTGATAGGGAGCCATAAATATCACATCTAGTATCACCCAGGGCCTCCTCTGCCTGGGGGCCATGCAGGCTCTGGGGACTTTGAGTGCCTTGGGCCTCAGGTCTGAGCCCAAGGTGTAGATGAACACAACACAGTGCCTTTATTTTTATGTGGTGCTGAGGATCCCGCCTGTGCTAGGCGAGTGCTCTACCGCTGAGCCACAATCCCAGCCCATGAGCCATGTTTTTCTAGTCAGCACCCAATGACACCACCTCAGCAGCCAGGGAACCACTAATGCCAAGTCCTGGGGCCTTCCACCCCCACCTCCCGTACCATAGAGCACACTTTCTGCTCCGTGTTTACGTCTAATTCATTGCTCATCCTGTTCTCCATCTGCCGTCTGCATCACAGACACGAGCAGACTCTTTAGCAAAACTAACAGGGTCGTCTTCATCTGTCTAATTATCTCAGCTTGTGAAATGGAGCTCCAGCTCTGTCACCAGGATTACTGACACTGCATGCACTGCCACAGACTGGGGGAGGATTAACCAAAATCAGTCAAAACATTACATCAGCCGGTGATGCTTTTTAAAGGGAGAACTGGCAGTCTGCTGCCGGAGAGGTGGGTGAGGCCCTACTGCAGTTCCATTACATTTAATTGGGGAGCCGCTGCGCACACACCCCAAGTGAAAACACTCATTTTTTAAAGATCCAGTCCAGTTTTAATTAACCATCTCAATGAATGTGTCAATTTCTGGACTGTGTATATGAATTGGCAGCAAAAGGCAGTGTCTTTTCAGGAGCAGCAGAGGACCACTTAACCTAATGTGTATGTGTTTGCAAATGAACAGAGTGGGTCCCTGACTGCCTACTACAGATGGCAGTGTATTCCCAGCACAACTTGGAGATCAAAGCTAAGACTTTCTTCCAGCTATAAATGGTCAGACTACTGTTATAGAAACAAAAGTAACTCCAGGGCCGTGGGAAGAAAGGCCTCCATGACAGGAGGGGCCAGTGGAACTCAGCTTTGTATGTCCTAAGGGTCCCAAGCACAGAGCAGGTCTTAGGGAGCGCCTGCTGGAGATGAGCACTGTGTGCACTTGGGTACATGTTGATGGTACAAGACCTAGGTGCTCAGCACAGCATTTTCCATAATGACCCAAAGTTGAACTCAAATGTTTACTCTTATGTAACAGCAGCAGTTTAAAAACTAGACAGGCTCCTCTAGGGCAGACTATTACATGCTCCTTGCTTGCTGGTTGGAAAGTGCAAGGTAGACTGCGTGCAGTAACTCTGCTCGGTTCCAGGATATATAGGGAGAGACTCAAGGGAAGTCCCTGAAACAGCAACACAAGTCTTGCTGGGTGTTAGGGTCATGAGTCTTCCATTTCCAGGACTGTGTAGAGTAGACAGGTGGTTTTAAAATACTTTTAAATTAGCAGCAGCACCAGACCCTCAGGGGAAGCATTCAGGTTCTGTCCAGTGGAACAGAGAGACTTGTTCCATGTTAGATGAGCTCCCACACCTCCAGGCACAGCTGGCTGAGCTGCTGGGAAAGTGTCCTGAGAAGACAATACAAAGGCCCCAGAATGCAAGCCAAGAGGTTTGTCCTATAGGATCTTCCCAGAGGAGTTGGCTCCATGGCAGAACTGAAAGTGACAACCCCTCCTTCAGGAGAGACTATCGGCCTATGGTCCTGTGGTCTCAGTAAGGGTGTGAGGCTGGAAGCACATTCTTAGGAGAAGGCCCAGAGCCAAGGGGCTCCTGTGTCCTCATGCCCATGCCGGGGGGGTCCAAAGTTCCGACGCAGAAGAGGGAATGGACTGAGTCTGAGGAAAGGGGAAGTGTGGGCCTAGGGGAGGACAAACTTCTGCCCTGCAATCCACTCATGAGACTCATATCCTGGGTGGTCCTCTGCAGAGGGCTGGCCACACCCTCCCCAGAGCCTCTGAACCAAATTCCAGGGGATTTTCATTGTTGGTTTTTGAGATGGGATATCATCATGTTGCCCAGACTGGTCTGTTAACTCCCAGGCACAAGTGATCCTCTTGCGTCAACTTCCTGAGACTGTGGGACAACAGGCAGGTGCCACAAATCCCAAATTTTTTCAAGTTCAAGTTAATTCCAAGGCTGGGTCAGGTTTGGACTATTAACACCTGATGGCAGCCTCCTGGGGTCTGCAGCCCATGCACCCCACCTCTGGGCTCCCCTTTGGCCTGTGGTCATCGTGCTGTGACGCTCCATCCTCCTCCTGTCTCCTCTGCCTACAGGGAGCTGCAGGAGGAGAGTGGTCTGACAGTGAACACGCTGCACAAGGTGGGCCACATTGAGTTTGAGTTCGTGGGCACCCCCGAGCTGATGGATGTGCACATCTTCTGTACTGACAGTGTGCAGGGGACGCCCCTGGAGAGCGACGGTGAGCCTTGGGGTATCCGCTCCCCACCACAGAAGGAGAGGAAGCACATCCAGTTCCACACAGTTGGCTAGGAGAAAGCGCAGCCAGATGTGGGCCTCAGGCCCGCCCACCGTCCCCATCTCACAGGGAGGCACTGAACAGTCTGTGCCTTAGAACCCTGGCTACTCAGGCACCACAGCTTAGCAGGCTGCAACTCTGAACCCCTTTTTCCTGATCCATAAAAGAGGAAGAACAGTCATGAGGATTAAGTAAAAAAGTAAATTCCTCACACAGCACTGCTGTGCAAGCTGGGGGCGGTGGAGCATGACTTAATCAGCAATTTGGGAGACTGAGGCAGGAAGATTGCAAGTTCAAGGACAGCTGGGCAACATAGTGAGAGACTGCCTCAAAATAAAAAGTAAGGGGCTGAGATTGTGACTCAGCGGTAGAGCACTCGCCTTGCACACGCAAGACCCTGGGTTCGATACTCAGCACCACATAAAAATAAATAAGTGAAATGAGGATTTGTGTCCAACTACAACTAAAAAATAAATATTTAAAAAAAGAAAAAGTAAGAAGGGCCAGGGACGTGGTCAGCAGTAGAGTGCCCCTGGGTTCAGTTCCCAGCACCACAAAAATAAGTAGTGCAGGTAGCTCCTCACAGGCCAGGCCAGCCCTGCCTTGACACTGGTGCTCTTCCTCTCTGCCCCTCGGTACAGAAATGCGCCCTCAGTGGTTCCAACTGGACCAGATCCCCTTTGGTGACATGTGGCCTGACGACAGGTACTGGTTCCCACTCCTGCTTCAAAAGAAGAAGTTCCAGGGGTACTTCAAGTTCCAGGGTCAGGACACCATCCTGGACTTCTCACTGCGCGAGGTAGAAGAAATCTAGCACCAAGCTAGAGTTGCCAGTTCAGCCACATTCGTGGCACCAACAGTTGGGCTTATTTTTTCTGTTTGGTAAGGAAAATAAAGGGCTTCACCTTTGAATAGTCTTCCCCTGGCCGCAGCTTGGGCCACTTCCACCATGCTAGGCAGAGGAGACAGGGACAAAGGAGGGCCTGGCATCTACCCAGCGTGCAGGCCACAGGCAGGCGAGAACATATTGTTCTCTTACCACCCATTCTACAGTGGGGGACACTGAGGCAGTCACTGCTCTGGGAGGGTAGACCATTTGCTTTCTCCTTTCTCCTCCACCAGGAAGGAGAGTTGGATCACCACTGCACAAAGCAGTAGGACTTTCAGACACATTGAGCAACTATTCAGGTTTGTTGATAAAACCACAAAACACAGGTCACCTATAAACAGTTCCAGTTTATTGGGTGTAGTAGTAACTGATTCCTGCAGCTAGTAAAGTGCTTCATACATAGGACCGGCTCACGCAAAGCACAAGAAAAAGACCTGGACACTAAGAACAATCCTGAATTCATGGGCTCAGAGTCCCAGGTGTCCACATTGCGACCTACAGCCCGTCTTCCCTTCCTGCATGGCCTGGGCAGCCTAGCCCCTTGTCACTGAGTGCCCTGGATGGAGCACGGTAGACCTGACAGAACGTTCTACTTGCTCCTGCTCTACAGTCGCCTTCCCGCTGGCCACGCAGGCTGTCCAAACTGAAGGTGGCAGGCAAGATCCCACTCAGCCTCCCTTGCCCAGGATTACACCCAGCCATCCTTCCACCAGACCAGGCATGGCCACGGCGTGGCACGCAGGTTGAGGCAGCAGGACAGTTAGGGAAGGGTGCAGGGACCCTTGGTCCCTTTGCCACCACAGGGACTCCACCCCAGAGCTGGGAGTAGCCAATCCTGCCCCAGGTGGGAGCACTTCTGCCCAGGACCAGGAAGTGCCAGTGTGAGAAACAGTGGCCTCTGCTGTCTAGCAAGTACCCCCCACCCCACTGATCTTCCCCTTGGGTGGGAGAGGTGAAGGAAGGGAACTCCATCCAAACTGAACTGTCAGCCATGCAGAAAGAGCCCCACACCCTGGCTCCTGAGCCACAGGCACCGAAGCAGAGCAGACAGGCTGTCCTCCCCTAGGCCCACATTTCCATAACACAATATAAGGACCCTGAGACCTCCTTCCATAGCAGGAGGCACCAGGAATGTGACCAGGACTCACTCATCCCAGGGTCCCTGGCAGTGAAGCTCTTTTCAGAACAGTCCATCCTGAAGGCTTGGGGCCAGAAGTCCCAATGGCTACTTGAGGAGTGCAGTCTTGCCCAGTCTAGAGACTCGGGCCCCCAGCCCCATGCCCACAATTCCCCATAGACTTTGGTCCCACAACGAGAGGCCAGGCTCCCAAATTGGGGCAGAACAGAAGAGGCCTTGTGGCCTGCTCAGCACAAACAGGGCCAGGTGTTACAGCTCAAGTGTCTTGGTGCCAGGGAATAAGTCCTGCAAGTGACACAGGTCCACACAGCAACCAAGACTTGTTTCCATAGAGGGAGGTTACAGGGAAGCAGGGACAGACTACACGGCAGGGACAGAGTCAAATCCCCACTGCCACCAATCACAGCACTATATCCTCTGGCGCAGGTAGAATAACTTCCCACCCTCAGGGTATGCAGTGTGCTGGGGCTCCGTGTTCCAGGCCTGCAAGCTGCATGGATGTCCAAGGAGGTCAAGTCCTGCCCCTCAGTATCTAAGAGGCATCCCTGGAAGGAACTATAGACCACCAGACCCTCTTCCGCATCTCTCCCTGGGTTACTAAGACAGGGAGCTCAAAGGTGGCTCCGTGTTCACCACAGAAGGGGTGTGAGCAGCAGCAATCCAGGTCTGACCCCAGAGCTCTGAGAGTGGCTTTCTTCAGCCTGAAGAGAGAAGTGGCCTCAGCCGGCCAGTCTCCTGGAATAGCAGGGCTGGAGGGGTTGCAGTTGCCCAAAAGAAGGAAATGGTTTTAAAAGGAATTAAGCGCACTCACATGGATGCTCCACCCAACACCCCAGCTGAAGGCAACACATACCCCTACACCTGTCCCTGCCCACCCCTAAAGCCTCAGAGCCCCACAACATGGAGTCCAACACTGGCTGCCCCCAAACAAGGAAAAGGACAGACCAATTTCTAGCCCTCAGACAGAAACCTCCACATTCATCTCCCAAGATCTCAATGTGCCTTTGTCTTATACTCAGGATCACAGTGTACCCATGTGGAGGGGGCAGCTTAGGGACACCTGACCCCAGACCAGGCCTCAGCTGTCCCCTAGAACATCAAACACTACGTCCAGCAACCTACACCAGCAGGCATCCAGGCTGGAATGTCTGCAGACCCTGGTCAACGTTCTGACCTCTGACAGACTGGCCATTTGGTCACCCAAAGGTCATGGGGCAGTCCTGTCCTCCCTTCTGCCCTGCTCAGCTGACCCCTGCCCCAGGCCAGCCCTCTGGACTGTTTTAGCACCTAGAGCCTCCTCCACACTCCTCCAGGAATTATGAGCCTCAGCAACCCTGGCCCTGGGTGTCGTGAGGAACCCGAATTCTCAGCACCGGGCTAGCAGCCACAGGGCAGGATGGGCAGGGGTCAGGGGGCCATAGACCTCCCACCCAGGGAAGAGAAAAACCACCAGCCCCACCCATGGGCTCAGATGGATGTTCCCTTTCACCCACCAGGGCACCACGGGCGGGAGTGGCCACCTGAAGGGAATTGGCAGGGACACACCATTTGGAAAGACGCTTTAGTGAGGCCGCAGGGAACTGTGCCGCAGCCTCAGGCACTAGTGAGGACATACGCCATCCTGCGGGGACCGTGGTGGCGTCAGCGCATTGTGTGGTCCAGCGAAGAGGCAACTGAGCTTCGGCTTCAGGTCATCCCACACCTTGCCCATCTGCAGAAAAGAAAATAGGATGGCACCCCAAAACACCAGCTCCAATTCTCCCTCCACCTGGTGGCCTTTGGGCACACCATCTCCCCAAGGTCACCAGAGAGCTTCTGGAAGTGAGGGTACACTGGACCCTTCCCACACCCTATGGTAGCCCCTCCTCCAAAGAGGTCCCAGGCTAGCCCACCTGTCCCCTGCACACAGGTCCAATGGGCTTCGAGTCTGCTCAACATGGTATTAAGAAGCGTGGCTGTTACACCGTACCCAGCACTGTGGCACAGCAGGCCAGCCGCCAGGAGGCACTCTTGTGTCCAGATTTGGCACAAGGCGAGAAGCGTGGCTGGTCGGGGCAGAGACCCATGTTTTTGGTGTGGGGGCTCATGTGATGACAGAAGATCTGTATGTGGCCCTGGGAACATGCTAATGAGATCCAGTCACTAGACCCGACATCTCATTAGCACAGCAAGATGAGGACCAGTGAGGCAACACCAATGAAGAATATCTCCTGGGCTGGGGATGTGGCTCAAGCGGTAGCACGCTCGCCTGGCATGTGCAGGGCGCTGGGTTCGATCCTCAGCACCACATAAAAATAAAATAAAGGTGTTGTATCCACCGAAAACTAAAAAATAAATATTAAAAAAAATCTCTCTCTCTCTCTCTCTAAAAAAAAGGAAAAGAAAAAAAATATCCTGCAGTTCAGGTCATGGCCACATCCCCAGATGGGATGTGGTCGCCCAGTGGTCACATGCTTCCTCACTGATGTCCCCACCAGCCACTCAGATGTCCAAGCCCAGACCTGCTGACCCAATATGTCTCCTTGACCTAAGACAGTAATTAAGTCATGCAGTCGGCTTCCTAATGCATGTGCTGCTTCTTCACCAGCCCACAGCTAGGAGGCTCCTCACCAAACCTCGGGAGCATTTTAGCTGTTCCCAGGAAACATACCACTAGTCAGAATACACAGTCTACTGTGATGCTGTCTGAGCCGGTCAATCTACAGACTATAAAAGTTTTCTTTAGCCTAAGGGTGCTGTGAAACTACTGGGCACCAGAAACACCAGGACTCTACAATTCTGGAGCAGGCTCTGCACCCCCTCTTTTGCACCATGTACAACCAAGCACCCAGGCAGTCTGGCATGACTGGTATAGACCAGGGTCTAAACTGGCCACTGACTTGGTCAGTTACAAGTATTCCCAACTTGTCTGATAATCTCCATGTTCCATACCCCCCACCAGCTGCAGAGACCTTTCAGAACTGCAGATCTGAGTTCCTGTGACATGCTGCTTCCTGGCCCTCCATGCAGAAGCACTGACGCCTATCTCCTCTCCCTGGCTCTGGGCAAGTCTCTGCCAGGGTGAGACCTGTTCCTCACTGACTGGTCTACCTTCCTGTGTACTCCTTGGTGATGAAGACACTGTGATCAAGTTGTGCCTAGTACCACAGAACCCAGCCAGGAGCAGCCAAGCAGCCATTGCTGCATTAGCCCGTCACCCATCAATGCCCAGGCCAACCACAGGAAGCTTGGCAGGGCCAGACTTCATACCTTTTTTCAGACAGAGCAACTGAACCAGAGGTCAGAAGAGGTTGCAACAGTTGTGCAGAAGGAACCTGAGATCAAGGTTTACAAAGTTGCTGGTTGTTTTTTTCAGTTGTTGGTGGAACTTTGTTTTATTTATTTATTTATATGTGGTGCTGAGAATCAAACTCAGTGCCTCACACATGCTGGGCAAGTGCGCTACCACTGAGCCTCAGTCCCAGCCCAAGGTTTACAAATTTTGAGCCAGGACTCCTCCTCTACTGCCAGGGGCTAGAGGTGGCCACAGGGAGACGCACCCCTCTCAGGAAGCCATCCTGGACCAGTGCTGGCAGGAAGCAAAAGTTACTTGAAAAGGAAGGAAGCTAGGCCACTGATATCAGAAAGCAGAGGGCACAGGGACTACACTGGGCTGGGAAAGAGGAACTGGATAGCGTCATGTTTTAATTACTGCCTCAGCAGACCCACAAGGCTGTCTGGAGAAGGACAGACACACGTCACTGGCTGAGAAGGGAGCAAAGAGCCCAAGACACACATTGGAGTCACACGGCTCCAGATCACTCATGCCAGGTGAGTGTCCCTGCAGTGTGAAATATCTCAGGATGATTCACAGCCTTGCTTCTCCAAGACTCAAGGAGCCAACATCTGAAGAAAGCTGACCAGGGGTTTCCAGAAAAATGTCCAGTTAATGGGTTTTTTAGGGGTTTTGTTTGTTTTTTTGTAGTACTAGAGACTGAACCGAGAAGCACTCAACACTAAGGTGTATCCCCAGTCTTTTTTTTTTTTTTTTTTTTTTTAAATTTCCATCTAAGACAGAGTCTCACTAAGTTGTGGAGGCTCACCTCAAACTTGTGATCATCCTGCCTCAGCCTCCCAAGTCACTGGGATTACAGGCATGTGCCACTGCGTCCAGCCCAGTAATGATATTTTTAACCCCTCAAACTTGATTCCTACCATCCCCCACACCATCTCCAAACAGTAGGGCTTTGGGACTTGATATGTTTTCCTGACTTCTCAAGTTCTTCCAGAAGGAAAGAAATTGTTCCTTTCTGGTCTCTCTCTGCTCTCCCCACTAAGAACCATGAGAACAAATTCATAATTATTCTGGCCACATGTGACACTAATAAATCTGAACAAGCACTATGTTTCCACATATACCCCAACTCTACTGACTGTCCGAAATAATTCCCCAAGGTCACTAGCTGCAGGAGCTGCAGCTGGAAACTGGAAGGCATTGGCCAGGACAGGGCTGGGGTAGGGGGTGGGGCAGGGAGGGCCTCACCTCCTTGTGCCCTTGGATCTGAGAGTTAACGAAGGCCCCGAGGATGTGGGAGGTGAGGGGCAGGTAGGCGTGGATGAGCTGCGTCTCCTGGTGCAGGCAGTACAGGGAGAAGTAGTTCCGAAGCTCCATGGTCTGAATCATGTTCTCTTGCTGCAAGGAAAAGAGTCTCCCTGCACACCTGGCCAGAAGGTGCCAGGAAGAGGAGCACCCCTGCCCACATACTGTGTTTGCCCAGGCCCAGGGTCTCCACCCCTTCCATGCAACCACTGAAGCAAGACTCCAGGGGATGAAGGGCCAGGACACAGAACACCAAGTACAAAGAAGCACATCATCCTGGGCGCGTCCCCAGCACCCCAGCTCAGGGCACTGACATTCCACAAGCTCATCCAGCCAACCAAAAGGAGCTCATGAGGATGGCTCCAGGGGCCAGAGGGACCAAAGTGTCCTAACAGTAGAAGGCTGCCACCTGGCCCCGCCACCTGCCAGCCTGCTCAGCTACCTCCAGGATGCGGGACTCCAGCTGCTCCACTGACTCGGGCTCGCGGTTGCTCACCGCCTGCCTTTTCATCAGGCCGTCCTTGTGCAGCGCCCGCTGGTGCTTGTGCAACACGCCCTTCTCGTGCCGCTCGCACAGATCCTGCAAGGAAAAGGAGGCACCTGTGCACTGGCCCTCAGCAGCTGACCCAGAGGAACTCGGAACCCAGGGACATTCTAGAGCCCCTTTCACAGGGCCAATTTAAGTCCTCCCGCCTACAACCAGGAAAAAGCAATAGGGGACAGTGAAAGAGTCCAGAACACGGGGAGGCTGGGGCATGCAAACTGGCAGCAAACGGCTGACAATGAAAGCTACCAGGGCCCTTCCAGAGGACCTGTTTTCCTGTTTGTCTTCGCCCAGGGAACAGTCAAGGAGTAGAGCAGTTCAGGGGCCAGGCCCTGTTCAGATTCAGTCTTATGCATACTAGGTTTGCACAGGGGCCCACTACACAAACCACCACCAGGTCCCCAACCCAAAGCCCACACGCTGAATCTCAGTTTAAACAGAGCCCTGGGACAGTTCTGGACCTCAGACTGCTAACACTACCCAATTCCAAAGGGCCAGTGTCCTAACAGTAGGAGGACCAGGAAGCCCTACAAGGAAGACACATGTCATTAATAAGCAGCACCCTAAATAACCCCCATCAGAAACCTTGCAGGAAATTAAAGTGACAATCAATGCCGGGATTTTAGAGGCCACCAGATACCATCCCATTCAACAGAGGAATCCCTTCTAGAACATGCCCCATAAGCACTGGGCCCACTCTCCTTGGCCTCCTCAGTAGGAAGGATTTCTCTGGCTCCACGTGGTGCTCCATCACAATCTGTCCCACCACAGATGCTCCCACACTTGGAAAGCTTCCCTCCTCTGTGCCAAAGCCAAGTTCCTAGAATCTCCACCCACTCCTGGGTGAATTCCCCTTTGTGGGCCAGGCCCCCAGACACGTAAAAGAGCGCAAGCACACACACTCCCAGGGCTTCTCCTCCCACTTTCAGCTCAGGGAAAGCCCACTGGTGCTTGGACCAAGGAGCCCCAACCAGCCCAGGAAACTCCAGTTAGCTCTGGAAAGTCCACCACGTTCCCTGCACAGCGCTGGCTCTTGACTCTTTCCATTCCCTTGGAGTCACACCCTTGAAAGATCCTAAGATCATTTTGAAAAATGCTATCCCTGACCAAGGAGTGGCTGAGACTCACTTTATAGGACTGGAGCAAATCCAGGAAAAGGTTCAACTTCTCCACCACATCATTCTCTTCCTGTTTGCCCTAGGAAACAAGGGGTGAGTTAACCAACACAGGACCCAGCCAGGCGGCTTACAGCCAGCCCTAGCCTGGGTGGGCTCCCTCCCAGAGCCAACGGCCCACTCTGTAGAAGACCCCCCTTCCTATATAACAGCACCCTAAGTCCAGGCAAAAATGCCTTTGAAGCCCACAGTTCTGCCCCAGCCATTCAACACCAATGTGTCTTCCTCTGGCTTTCTGAACCCCTCTTACCCACACTCGTACACCCCAGCAGCTCTGCCCAGCACTGCAGAAAACAGTTTTATTGGTGACTGTGTCAAAAGAGTATGCACAGGAGACTGCTGGGAACAAGGGGCCACCCTCCAAGCTCAACTACAGGGAGGAACACAGGCCTGGGCCCGGGAGGGGCAGGGGAAGGAGCTGCTGCTGCAGGAAGGGCGCGTGGGAGAGAGCTGGGCTGAGATAAGGGAACAGAGACATTCTCATGAGAAAGGTCACATACTAAAGGCCAGAGAGGGGATGAGGGAGAGCAGTCAGAGGCTCCTGCTGGCACAAGCTCAGGGCTCTGTGGACAGGTGCACATTGAGCCCACAGCGGCATGGGTGGCCCTGCTAGTGGAATGGGCTCCTGGTAATGACAGGGAAAGCCCAGCTCCTGTACTCACCCACAGCATCCTGAGGACACATGTGAGCACTAGCAGCCCCATCACTACCCAGAGACCTCCCAGAATACACAGGTAGCAGCACTCCGCAGGGACACGAGGGCAGCCCACGGGCGTCCAGCGCAACCTGCATGCTCCTATGGCCTCCAGTACTGCAGCTGTGGCAGGCAGAGGAAGCGGCACATCAGACTGGGTGTGGGGGTGGTGCAGGTGGGAGGAGGCTGGGGAAACAGCACTGGACTAGGAGCAGAAAGCGACAGCCACCTCAGGGGACTCTGGGAACACCATCCCATCCTCCAAGCCTTGGACCACTAAGCCAGAAGGTTCCTGGCCTCTCAATCCCACACCTGCAGCCAACGCAGATTCTACCCAGTAAGTTCCAAGAAAATAACAAGCATCTTATGGGATTTCAAGACACGGAAAAGAAACACCAGCCAGGCAGAGGCGCCCTGTACCCTGGTCCAGTAGGAAAGGGATTCAAGGTTCCTCCCTTCTTGTGTCATCTGCAGTAAGTTCCATTTGGGGTTCAGTGCACATAAACCATCATGGCATATGCCTTCAAGAGGAGCACACCATCACCATGAAGAAAGCAGCCCCTGCCTCCAGTCTCACTAGTCTTGCTGGGACATCATATGTACGTCTCTTAATAGAATAAAATTGGGTATGAGTAAAAATAGAATTAGGAAAAATCATCCCAAGAGGCCTTTAATTGTGGAGCAAGGGTAAGACAGAACTTTAGCCTTTCAGATCAAAGTCCTGGTGGGTGGCCTGATCCAGTTACACGTAATAGCTGTAAATTCATGATGCCAAAGACCAGGAGGAAAGTTCAAGAAAAAGTACTTCTCCAGATATTAAATTTCAAACCAAAGTTCATGACATATCACAGAGCCAGAGCTGAGGAGAACCTCGGACTTCCACCCCTCAGGACACCCAGGCCCTTTCCCCTCACCAGGGACCTGGAGGTCATCCTGTGCTCTGCAAAGCCCCAGGGATTCCTGGTGCCTGTGTCCTTGCAACTGGAACAGGCTTTGCTTTACACAGGAGCTCGGAGGAGAGGCGCAATGGATTCAAAGACAGCAGCTGTTTGCACGCCCTAGTTCAACCCCTTATGTTACCTTAGTGGGGAAATTGAGGCCCAGAAGCCAACATAAAAGCCGCATGGTCCTGGCACAGGCCCCAAACCCCCCGTCTCTCCATTAGTCACACCACTGAGACCTTATTTTCAGTGCTCGTCACCATGGGTACCTACAGACCTGAGAAAGGAACAGGCACCATGCTGATCAGAGGTTACCTACACGGCTCAAAATTCTATGTCTAAAGGGAACACACGGGCACTGGGAGTGGAAGAGAAAACCCAGAGTTTTAGGCACAGCAAGGAGATCAAATTCCCTCTTTGGCACACACACATCATGAACACCTGAGCACCCCAACCTCCAGCAAGAAGAGCCCCCAGGTCCCTGGCAGGCAGGCCCACCACACAGACAACAGAAGAACTCCAGGTGTCAGGCAGGGAGTGCAGCTTCAGCAAGGACATTAATTCACTCAAAATGCCTCATTCCACCAGGAGCTTCGAGACTACTTCCCCACAAAGTAGAGAACAACTTTCACCATCAAAATTAGGCAGCAGTTTCATAACATAAAATCCCCAGGTGAACCTTTAAGTTTGATGATGAATACTATATCTTCAAATTAATCCCCAATGGCCAGCAGATTTCTAAAAACAGCTCCTGCCCACACAGCAGAAGCACTTCCTGAAGTTAAGTGAGCGGCAAGGTGGAAGGAGGGAGTCTCTCAGGGTGCTGGGAGCTTAGTTACTATTCTGAGAATTAATCTGAGTTGAGTTATTCTGTCAAATTCTAGCTGACTCAGCACAATCGGAACTATCTGGCCCACCCAGAAGCCAACTCCGACACCTAATTATGCCTGAAAGAGCAGACACCCTCTTCTAATCTCAGCAGAGTCAATGCTCAAGAGATCGGAACCCAACTTGTTTCTGTCACTGGTAGCCCTCTCCAAAGAACAAACCACTGGTGGGGAGCCACCCACAACAGATGGGGACAGGCAGTTCCCAGAAACAGCTGTTCCCCCAGTAGAAGTCGGCCCTTTGAAGCTGGGCTGAGGTAGCCCTGCAGTCCCACAGGGCACAGAACGCCCTGGGACAGGTGCGTGGAGAGCCAGTGCACTCACCTGCTGCGCAGCTTTGTCTGCAAGCAGGGCGAACTCCACAGAGAGGCCCTTCAGGGCCTGCTTCAGGGAGCCCCAGGTGCTGAGGTGAAGAGCAGCCCAGGAGGGCAGGGGGGTCGTGTCAGACCCTAAAGCACTGTGGAAAGCAAAACACATAAGCCAGGAGACACTCGCCCTTGTGTCCCACTCAGACCCATGCTCCTGGAGGGGCCCATGGGGACACTGTGAGGCAATGAAGAAGGTGGGATCTCAGCCCCACTCAGACCTCGTGAGGGACTTCTCTTCCCAACAAGACCCCAGGCAGTCTGTGTGCCATTCCTATGGAGTGGAGGAAGTGCAGCCAGCCACAGGCTGCTCCTTCCTAAGGCCAGTGGGCTGACGTCTAGAAAGCTGGCAAGCCTGCAGTGTACACAGGGGCATTTGGCGTCCACACTGCCCTGGCTGAAGGTCCCACCTCTGTTCTCCTAAACATGATCCCCCATTTGCCTGCCCTACTTTCTTCCCTTCTGCAGTGAAACAGGTCAGAGTGGCAGTTAGCACAGGAAACTCAGTCTGCCCTGAGCCCACCACCCTCTGAAGACTCTCCCCACCTGATGTCTCCACAGACCCTGAAGAAGGCCACCTGCCTCAATTCCTTCCCAAATATGAGAAGATCAGCAGCATTGTCGATGGCCCTCGAAGCAATCCTCTCCGCCCTGTCTCGCAGCTTGTAGAAGCTATTGTAGATGTTCCGAATCAGCTCCCTGCTCACAGCAAATTGAGTCTGGATGTCAGAGGGAAGGAAGTCCTGACGGCGAAGAGAAAGAGACTGTGACTCCGCTGCTCAGAGGCTGCGGCCTCACCCATAAGGCAGGCAGAACCCCATCACAGAACAGCCAAAAGAGGGTACAATGAGAACATATAATGGCCTAGTGGGACCCCAGCACACAGCAGAGGTGGCACGAGTATCATTACATGTTAAGATGACTGTCTCTCTAGCAAAAAGGGAAATAAATATTCAAAATCAGAAAACTACCTTGGCCCTAGTAGCCAGCTTACAGTTCATAAATTCATCTCCAACACACTGGGCCGCTTCCTTCAGCTTGTTCTGCACATCCTGCAAGAGGAAAGAGACAGCTGCACCTCCCCATCGGCACAAAGCTGCCACGAGAGCCGCCTCGTCAGTGAACAGGAGCACCTGGTCTCTCCTGAGCAAGTCGGCTTCCACGTTGGCTTCCCTCAGCATCCCAGAACCTCCGCCGCTGCCTCAGATTTTCTTTCATTGAATTTAAACTCTAGGAAGTCTGGCTTAAGGATGAGAGCCTAACCAAGCGAAGTTCCTCTCCAGAAACAGGGGACTAGGGATACCCTAACCCCCAAGATGGTAGACCCTCTAGGTTCCAAATGGAGCAGCAGAATGAAGCTGAGGTTTCTTCCTCCTGAGAGACCCTCAGGCCCAGGGAGTCAGGCCCTGGAGCAGTTGGTGGGCAGAGGACAGGCAGCACTCTGGTCAAGCCCACCCTCGGAACAGAGGCCTTCAGAACAGAGGCAAAGCCAAGTCTCAAAATAAGGAGCCACCCAGGAAATACAGGATGAAGCTAATCCACAGCGGTTAGAGGAGAGGAATCCCAAGGTTTCAGAGGGGCCTCGAGTCACCTGCCCCCTTCTCTTTTTACTGAAAAAGACACTGGGGTCTAGAGAGGCCACAAAGAACAAACACCCCATCTGCATAAAAGCAAGAGACAAAGAAGTGTACCTCCAGGATGGAGGTCACCCCCTAAGTCCCCCCTCCCGGTGCTGCCTGGAGCACAGGCAGTTTTCAGCCTGCCACATCCCTCTGCCGGCAAACAAGACCTCTACCCCAACCCTAAGGACTCAAAGGACAGGCCACACACTCTGCTGAGGCAGAGGCAAGAGTTTCTGTTGACAGTGTCACCAGGGTCACCAGTGAATGCCTGCAGCCTTCCTGAGGAGGTTAGTGGCCCCTCCTACCATCCAGGGAAGTAAAGGCGGGAGAAAGTAAAACTTGTAGCTGAGCCTGGTGGCGCAAACCTGTCATCCCAGCAGCTCAGCAGGCTGAGGCAGGAGGATCCTGAGTTCAAAGCCAGCCTCAGCAATTGTAAGGGGCTAAGCTACTCACCAAGACCCTGTCTAAATAAAATATAAAAATTGCTGGGGATGTGGCTCAGCATTTTAGTGCTCCTGAGTTCAATCCCCAGTACCCAAAAACAAAAACAAAAAAACCTTGGGCTGACTACTCCTGTGTCCCATGTCCCCTGCCCTGCAGCAGGTAACAGCAGGAGGTGAAGGGCCCCCAAGTGCCCATTCATGAAGAGGCTTCCCTGTAAGGAGAACCTGGGCACTTCGCTTTCTGAGGGATAGGAGGAAGATGGATCACAGAACACTCCTTGCTCTGGAAGGGCTACAAGCCCCTTCCTGTTCCACTGGACACGGGAACCATGTTCTAGCTCTGAACTCCTGTAAGACAAAGTGACAACAACTTGGAGAAAGAAACAGCTGCTATTCCTGACAGGGATGTACACAAAGACGCCATTTCCAGAGGTGGATGGACCCTGTGGCTCTACTGAGGACACTCGGCTTATTTCTCCATGGTCCTTGATCAAAGCCCCCCGCCCCAATATTTTTTGGGGGGTGGGGATGAATATTTATTCACATCTACAAACGCTCCAAACCATCCATCCAGGCTTCTGTATATTATCTCTAAATCCCCAAAAAACCATGCTGGGAACCCCCGATTTCCACACAATATACAAACCCTTCAAAGTCAAAACCAAAGGTGCCTTTTAAAATTACACCCAACCTGTCATTTGAAAGGAAAGAAGTCTGATATTGTCAATCACAATAAAACGAATGCCTTCCAGGCACCCGAACAAGGGAAATGAGACAGGAGGACAGTCAGAGATTCAAAATTGAAAGTAAGGCCTTTAGAAACTTCAGAACCAGCCCACACCAGGACCCTTGAGGACACACTTACTGAGCCACTAAACGAAAGGAAGAGCTTTAGGATGGTGTCCTCAGAGAAGGGGGGGTGACGAGCCACCAAGTTAATGAAGCGCTTCAGGGCCCTCCTTCGTCCCTCGATGAATTCCCTGTCCGCTAAAGAAACACAAAGTCATCACACAGACAGCAACCGCCAACAGCCACACTGAGCAGGCTCCCAAGCATCTCAACAGAGGGTCAGAGCAGCCACATGGCCGACCAAGGGCAACAGGCAGGTCCGCAGGACAACAGCTGACCCCAAGGGCTGCAAAGGAGTCCCGGAGCCCCTCCTCCATGCCCCCACCCACCCACCTAGGTTCAGAAATGCCAGGGAAAACCAAGATCAACAGGTTCTGATCGAGACTACTGGGAACCAGCTCTCAGCATTTTTTTTTTTTGAGACAGGCCTTATTACGTTACCCAGGCCGGTCTCAAACTCCTGGGCTCATGAGCAGCTGGGAGCACAGTTGGAACTGCACCTGGCTTTTGGGAACCAAGTCTGATTCCTCACTTTGATCATCTACATTGAAGGCATCTTCTCAAGTCCCTCTCTGGCACTTCTCTTGTGAACAGAGGGGTTCTGCAATGCCCACAAATCAATGGAGCTCAGTGTTCCTACTCACATCACTTATAGTTCACTCTGTGACAGATGCAATCATTAACTACTTTCATTTGAGAAAGTATTTTCACTTCAAGGGGAAAAAGCAAGCATATATCAAGGTGTTAAGGATATTTAAATCTGACCACAAATAGAAACGGTCTTTAAAGTCATTGAAAACTATATTCAGATGAGTCCCCCTCCACCCTCACCCTCCACCCCTGACATGCCCTTCATGTGAGCATGTGTCCACGTGCAGCTTTCAAGTCCTAAACCCTGGCTGCACTTAACCAGCTCTGATGCTGGATGCTAGCATCCCAGTACATCTGCTGGTCTCACCTGCCCTTGGCATCCTTATACCCCCAACATGAGAAGCACAGTCTGTTGCACAGTGTGTAGGAAGGGCCAGAACACGTTATCAGGCACTGAGCTACTGGGAGGCCATAAGAGATAAAGGTATTCATGTCCTTTTTTGCTTGTTTGTTTTGGATACTGGGGATTGAACTCAGGGGCACCTGCCCACTGAGCCACATCCCCAGCCCTATTTTGTACTTTATTTAGAGAAAGAATCTCACTGAGTTGTTTAGCACCTCAATTTTTTGCAGAGGCTTCCTGTGAACTTGCAATTCTCTTGCCTCAGCCTCCCAAGCCTCTGGGATTACAGGCATGTGCCACCACACCCAGTTTCTCATGTCCATTTTAAGAGACTTGAGAACAGTGGGAGCTGAACCACTGCATGATGCTTAAACTCTTCTCCACTCAAGCACACTTCTGCTGTGAGATGGTTGGAAAATATCAGACTATAGACATTTGGCTCCAGGCACTCACCTACCCATCAAGTTTTATACAGATTTTGAGAAAAGGGTTGTAGGAAAAACTATCAGGTTGTGGGAAAAACTATCAGTGAGCTCCAGGAATACCAAGGGGCAGATCCCTGTATTCTGGAAATCTGCAAGAAACAGCCAATCTAGAAGGACTTGGCCAGCAGGTTATCTGTGACCTCCCACCTAGCCCGAGGCAATCTTCAGGTGCAGCCAACTACTGACTTCTGTCCTCTAAAGTGCAGAGCAAACTTTCCACCTTAGATCTGCTTCTGACCTCATCCAGTGCTGGCTTGGCACCCACTGCTCAGGCCCTCAGGGGTTTGCAAAGCAGGAGAATCCAACTGCTGGAGCAAACAGTGCTCCACCATCACCATTCAGGAACTCTGAAGTCCCCGCCCTGAGCTTCAAGAGGAGACCCAGGGTCCCCTCTTTTACATGTGCACCATGAGGGCATTCCCTTTGTGTCAGTCATCCAGCCAAAGTCTGCAAGATACCAAGGGTGCTGTGTGCCAATCACCCTCCCTGTACCAGACCTGGGCTCAGTGACAGCACTGGCTCTGGTTAGGATATTTTTGTTTTGTTCTGTTTTTTTTTTTTTTTGGGTGTGTGTGTGTGTGTGAGTGTGAAGCTGGGGACTTAACCCAGGGTCTTGGCCAATAGCTATGAGCCTGGGACAGCCCGGGGGCTCACGTGCACTATGGTCCTGCTGTCAGCCCCTCCTGGACCTTGAGGCAGGAGCAGCATGCGGGACTGCAATCTACCCTGAGCCATCCTGTGAGTGGGCTCACTCCCACCACCCTGGGCCTCCACATGCCCCGCGTTACCTCCCAGCACTCTCTTGGGTGGGAGGGCAGGCACCATGCGGTACGGGAACTTGTGCAGCAACATTTCGTGGAAGACCACAAAGTCATTGTACCGTCTGTACACAGAGGACTTGAAGCGCTGCAAAGAAAAGGGATTGGGGCTCAGGTAAAATGGGAAGCCATGACAGTCATCACTCCCCTCAACTCCTCCCTCTGCCCTGAAGACAGCCTACAGAAATCTTCCCATCCCCACACTCGGGCGAGCTGGGCAAAGCAGCCTCTTCCTACCCACGCTCATGGGAGGCAGTTCAAGAGGAAATGGAGGCCAGCAGCCGGCTCACTGGAGCAGCACCTTCTCCCAGGCTGCGAGGCCCAGGACAAGCTGCTTCTTCCAGGGCGTCCTGCCAGTCGACTCTCAGCCCTGTGACTGTGGGAGAAGGCAAGGACCTAGGCAATGCCAGAGCCGTGCTGTCCTTGAAGGAGTCCCTGCCACTCTGCCGTCTACCTTCCCCCTCAGCAGCAGCACTGGGACTTCAGAGCAGCCAGTCACAGGCTTCAAATACTGAAACAGAACCCGGCGGTTCCTGAATGTGCAGAACAGCAGGCAGCGTGACAGGCATCAGCCCACTGGGTCCCAGAGCTCACCTCTCTCCTGGGGCAAAACATTCAGTGGACTGTTCAGAGGAGCCTTGGCAGTGCCAGCCACCCTCTCCCCGGGAGCACAGGCCTGCCCTGTCCTAGCAAATCCCCCCACACTAGGGACTCACTGCTCCAAAAGACGTGTTATCAACACTACTGAATCCCAGGACAATGAGTAAACCCCCAACTCTACCCTAACTGAGCAAGACAATGGACAAAGGGACAAAAAGACCTTGACACTCGAGTGCCAAGACTGCTGCCAAACCCGTGTCTGATGAACTCAGGCACCCGGTGCCCACAGCAGAGGGGCAGTGTTACTACAGGTGATTAGCTGGACACAGACCGATCATTCCCACACACTGCAGTCACTATTTGGAGTCTACGCTCTATGGGGCTGACTTTCGAATCCTCAGGGGATCCATGACAAAACTACCACCAAACCCACTTCTGTCCAGGGTGTGTGCTCCGCAGACTGTCTGTAAGAGATTTCTAAGAAGCAGGATTCGAGAACACAGAGATGGTGAGGCGGGACCAGGCAGGAGTGGAGCAGGCCCAGCAACCGGCACAAGTCTGCTCAGAGGCTTGACAGAGCCCACAAGTTTTGGACCACACTCTCTCCCTTCCCTATCTCCTGGCCTGATGCTATCCCTAGTTCTCCATCCCCCTTGTCCACACAGTCACACACGTGATTTGCAGTTACCTGGCTGGAAACCTCATACTCCACATGCTTCAGGAAGAGGCCCTTCTTCTCCGGGATGAGTTCCACCTGCACAGTGTCCCTGGCCAGCAACTCCTGCAGGGTATAGGACAGCAGCAGCGGGTTCCCCTGCGGCATCTGCATTCGACTGGGGTCTGGGTCCCTTCGATCAGTGACCTGTACTGGTGAGCCTACAGGAAAAAAGGCAAATGCCAGATAAAGACAGCTGCTCAGAGAGTGGCGTCTCCTGCACCCTGTGCTGGCTCAGCACGTGGACTCTGCCCACAAAGACAGAACCACCCCCACGCTGGTCACCCTCATTCTTCATGCTACAGATTTGGTCCTGAGGGGCATGTGCTTCTGCCCCCAATAATCACTACCTGAGAGGCTTCACCAGTTTGTGAACCAGCAAATACACATTTCTATGATCAGTCAAATCAAGTCTTCAACTTGGGCTCAGAAAACAGTGAAATATTTACAAATTATGTGTGAAAAAGTCCTTCCCTAGAGCCGAGAAGGGGTTCAAACAAGTGAAACCAGTGTGTGACTTCTACATGATCCAGTGTCCCTACAATTGGCACAATATCTTCACAGGCCAAATAGCCACATTAATTTGCAGAGGCTGGGGGGACTACTACATGCTAGCTCATTGCTAGGTTTCTTGATCCTACAAACCAAAGAACTAATTAGCCCTAAAACTTCAGCATCCTTAGGGACAAGAATCACAAACACATTATTCACAAAGCAGGAAAACACAATTCAGAGAGATGTTATGCCTGCTAGCCTGTAACAAAACAAACACATGAGGAAATCACACTAAAAGTCAGTTTGACTTTCAAGTTCTTTTCAGTTCAAATAAATAGATGGTATAATAGGAGTACACTCTTGCTCCAGTAGAACTGTCCACTCCAAGGTGGTATCACTTCATGACTCATTTCTTTTCTTTTTTGGGTACTGGAGACCAGGGACTGAGCCCAGGGGCCTCAAACATGCCAGGCAAGTGAGCACTAAACTAAATGCAGCCCTTTTTAGTTTTTATTTTGAGATAGGTCTCACTAAATTGCCCAGGCTGACCTTGAACTTGCAATCTTCCTGCCTCAGCCTCCTGAACAGCTGGGATTACAGACGTACATCACAACACTCAGCCCACATGACTGACTTTTGAAAGCAACTCTTAGTGCAGGATGCTGGTTATGTTCTAAAACAAAACTGGGGACTGGATTAATTTCCTCTGTGAAATTACTCAGCATTTTAGGATTTAAAAGGTGGTTGCCTTGGGCTGGGTGTTTAGCCCAGGGGTAGCGCACTGGCCTAGCATGCCCAAAGCCCTAAATTCCATCCCCAGAACCACAAAAATGTATTAATTAATTAATTAGTTAAAATAACATGTGGCTGCCTTAATTGCCTTTAATGCTTAAGAAGAAAAACTAAGGCTGTAAGGTTGACTTGAGAATCCCTAAAGGTCTCACACCACAGAATCTTCATCTAAAGCAGCAATCCTCCAAGCAGGGGTCCCTGGACCAGGGTCGACATGACCAGGAAGGCTTGGGAGAAGGTCAACAGCTGATTTACATGGTGAGTCTCTATCTTTTTGGATATTTATTTATTTGTTTATTTATTTGTATGCAGTGCTGAGGATCAAACCTCACGTGTGCTAGGCAAGCACTCTGCCACTGAGCCACAACCTCAGCTCACCTATCAGCTCACAGTGTGATGATGATACCACAGCAGAGCAGCATATGCCCACAGCTGTTGAACACATGCACTGGTATGTGCGTGAGTACATGTGTATGTGTGTCTGAGTTTATGTGAGTACATGAGTGTATGTGCCAGTGACCATATGTGCATGAATCTGTACTGTGTGTATTTACATGAGTGTATGTGGACATGTGTATATTACAGTGTGTGCATATGGGTATGAGTGTATTTCAGTGTACATGTGTGTGTGTGTGCTTGTGTATCCAAGTTTGCTATATTTGAGTACATGTGGAGGAGGAGGAGGAGGAGGAGGAGGAGGAAAATGTTAAGTGCTAGTAAGAGTAAGGGAACCCCTCACACCTGGGGCAGATGTGGAAATGGTGCCATAGCCTTCAAAAACAGTCCAGGACCTAATAAAAATTTCAAAATTAAATAAAAACAGTCCAGCAGGTCCTCAGAATGTTAGCCACAGAGATACCATGTGATCTAGCTATCCCACTCCTAAGTAACTGCCCAAGAAAAAGAAGTACATTCACGTCCACTCAAAAGACTACACACAAGTGTCCCGAAGGAACACTATTCAGAATGGCCAGAAGGTGGTAAAAACAAAATGCTCATCAAGGAATAGAGACAATGTGGCATGTGCACACAATGGAAATGTTCCTCAGCCCTAAACAAGAATGGAGCACAGATTCACACTGCAGCATAAATGAGCCTTAGCAACGTGATGCCAAATGAAGGAAGCAGTCTTTAAAGTCATGTACAGGACGATTATATCAATGTGAAACATCCAGAAAAGGCGAATCTATGCAAACAAAAGTAGACTACTGTTAGCTCAGGCTGGGAGGGAAGGTGGGAGGAGTGATGAGTATCTACTCAAGTGCTTTCTTTCCAGAATGATTTAAAAAAAAAAAAAAAAAAAAAAGCTCTAAAATTGATCATGGTGATGGTTGTACAACTCTGAATATACAAAGCATACTGAGTATACCAAACCCACTGTACTGTGTACTTTAAATGAGATAACTGCATGGTATATAAATGCTACCTCTGAAAAGCTTCACAATTAAAAGGCAGGTGACATCAGTACGGCAGCGGAAGGACCTCCAAAACCCACTCCTCCACTAATGCAATGAGGACACTGGTGAAAATGGCCAGAATCCTCTACCTCAGGATTTCAGAAATTAATGAAAGACTTGGCTATTCCAGAAATTAGCCTAAGACTTGCAGCGGTCCAAGGTACACTTACTGATATAACCGAGCTCAATGGGGTCATGCTGAAGCAGGGCAGGCCCTTAATTTGATGAAGCTGGAGCCTGTGTAAGCCACAGAGGCACCCTGCAGTGCCAGATGAGAGGGAGGCAGACACAAAGACGTGGATGGCTGAGTCTACAAGCCAAGGCACACCAAGGAAAGCCCTGGAAGCCGGAGTGAGCCAAGAAGGTTCCCCGCTTCAGGATCAGAGGGGCCACAGCCCTGCCAACAGCTGGATCCTCCAGAAGTGTGAGACAATAACTTTCTGTTTTAAGCCACACAGATTGTGGTACTTTGTTACAGCAACTCTAGGAGAATAATACTCAAGACTTTATAGAATTCGTTCAGAAAATTCATTAAACAAATAAATAACAGCAACAGTAACAACACCTTAAGGAGGGGGAAATCTGGTTTCCAGAGTTGCCACATTTTTTTTTTAATTGTCAATGGGTAGCGCTTTTTTTTTTTTTTTTTTTTTTTTTAGTTGTTGTTGGACACATGCCTTCATTTTATTTATTTTTATGTGGTACTGAAGATCGAACCCAGCGCCTCGCACATGCCAGGCGAGCACTCTACTGCTGAGCCACAATCTCAGCCCACATTATATATTTTTTAAATATTTATATATAATATATATATAAATATAATATATTTTTTAATATTTATATATAATATATATATAAATATATATTTTTTAAAATATTTTTAGTTATAGGTGGACACAATAACTTTATTTTGTTTTTTATGCAATGCTGAGGATTGAACCCAGTGCCTCACACATGCTAGGTAAGTGCTTTACCTCTGAGCCACAACCCCAAGCCAACACATTATATTATTTTATTATTTTTAATATTTATTTTTTAGTTTTAGGTGGACACATATCTTTATTTTATTTATTTTTTTAATGTGGTGCTGCTGAGAATCAAACCCAGTGCCTCACGCATGCTAGGTGAGCGCGCTACTACTTGAGCCACATCCCCAGCCCCGCATTATATTATTTTAAATGTTCAATTTCAACAAAAATTTATAGACATGTAATGAAAAGAAAGCATGCCCAAATGCAGCGGGAAGAAGGCAATCAATACCAACCATCTTAGAGGAAACCCCACACTGAGCTTAGTAGACTTTTTTTCAGTTATTTTAAGCATGCTCAAAGAATTAAAGGAAACCACACCTCAAGAACTAAGGGAATGTGTAAGGACAATGTATGTTTGTCTCATCAATAGAAAAATATCAATAAACTTCCATTATAAAAAAGAACCAGATAAAAAGTCCAAAATTGAAATGTTCAATAAATGAAATGAACTATTCACTAGTGAAGCTCAACAGCAGATTTGAGTGAGAAAGAATCAGCAAACTCAAAGGTTAAGTCATTTGAGATTATCCAGTCTGAGGGGCACAGAGAAAAAAGAATGAAAAAAAAAATTAACAGAAATTATTGTGAGAGACCTGAGGTACACCATCGAGATACCAGACACTCATAGGGAGACTCTAAAGGAGAGGCAGAAAGGGTTAGAAAATTTGAGTAAATAATGACCAAAATTTCCCAAAATTTATGGGGCTGAGGATATAGTTCAGTAAAGTTTGCCTCACTTGCACACAAGGCCCTGGGTTCAATCCCCAGCACCACGGAAAAGAAAAAAACACTCCAACCAGGATCAACTTAAAAGAGATCACACCTAGACACGACATAATCACAAAAGCCAGTGTAAGAGATGAAGACTCCTGAAAGCACGGGGACATGGACACACACACATAGCTCTTGACATTGAATGAGGACATGGCAGGGTAACTAAGTAAGATCTCGTTGTAATAGATCTGTCCCATAAAAAATGAATCCATATGAACCACCTGAAGAAATAAAGTAAAAGTAACTACATAGGTAAATATAAAAGTATAACAAAGCATTGTGTGTGTGTGTGTGTGTGTGTGTGTTTTCCTCCCCTAGTACTGGGGGTTGAACCCAGGGCCTTGCACATGCTAAGCAAACACTCTACCACTGAGCCACATTCTGACACCCTCTCCCATTTTTTTTCCCTTGTGGTGCTGGGGAATTGAACCCAGAGGTACCTTACCACTGAGCCATATCCCCAGACCTTTTTCTAATTCTGAATCAGGGCCTCACTAAGTTATTTAAAGCCTCACTTAGTTGGTGAGGCTGCCCTGCCTCAGTCTCCTGAATCACTGGGATTACAGGAGTGCACCACCACACCTGCCCACCCACCTATTTTTTTTTTTTTAA